TTGCGGATGGAATGCTGTAGTTCTAATCTGTTTGCATTTATACTGTCGTGCAATAGACTTTAAAAGAGAACTAGTGAAATTGGTCCCCTGGTCTGTAAGTATAATTTTTGGGGCACCAAATWTATTACAAAAATTTTGAACCATTCCATTCGCAATATCGACTGATTTTGCTCCTTAAGAGGTACAGCAATAAAAAATTTAGTCAAGAGGTCCTGTATAGTAAGAATAAAYTTGTTACCAGTTTTTGTTTCTGGTAATGGTCCAACTATATCCATAGCAACCTTGTCGAACGCAGCTCCCGGCGTATCAGTGATAATCATCGGTTCTTTTAACTTTATTCTGGTTAATTTTTTTATTTGACAACTTTCGCAGTTCCTTACAAACTCTTGAATATCTTGTTTCATGTTCCTCCAAAAATATTTTTCGCGAATTCTGGCATAAGTTTTAGTAACTCCCTTATGTCCACCGACAGGCGAGGAGTGGCATTCGACAAGTATTTTTTCTCGCTTCTCGGGAGAAGAAATCGTCACCTTTCCAGCACAAATTATAATTTGGCATGACTCGCAATCGAATGCGTTACTTAATTTTCTTTGAACTTGTTGCCATGATATATTGTCAAAGCAAAAAGTTTTTGCTATGCTAACTGAGGTGAGACCCAATTCGCGTGTAACGGCGAGCAAAGACTCCAACGCCTCTATAGAAATTTCGTACTTAACACTATTTGCACAATGTTCCTTTATTGGAATAGTAATTAAAGGAACCTGCCAATATTAGTAACCTTAGCACGTGCTAAAGTCAAGTCTTTAAGTTTGGGCACAAGTTTTGATTCGCTAAGAAGTTTTGCACCCGCGTCACACGGCGTGCCTTCTAGATCAGTAGAAATTACTAGATTGTCTTTTCGTAAAATTAATGGGTCTCTTGTTATACCTAAATTGGACGTAAGCATTCGCATGTGAGTATCAACGCGCGTTTGCGACGGGGAACAAAGAAAATTGTAATCACTCGTACTGCCCGTGTCAGAGCTTACGTCGTCTGTCTCCCCAATTTTTGTTGAAGGTCTAATACAATTCTTTTTTTAGCAAATTAACCTCGGCGCCAGTATCAATCATAAGTGTCACATGTCCAGTCAGTCGAGGCGAGAATCCTGTGACACAAGGAGACTCCCATTTTGGATTATATTTCACTTGTTTAATCCCGACTGTCCGGGTCTCTGAACTGGACTGTTTGGACGCTCCTTGGGAGGCGGGGAGTTTCCCGAATTCAGATTCTCGATTTTATATTTTAGTTTTTTACATTCGAGAATCAGGTGTCCAAAATTCTTACAATACTGGCATTTTTTTATTGGAATCTTTTTCTTGGGAGGAGACTTAGGCCTAGTAGGAGATTCAGGTGGGTTGGGAGGTTTTGGCTTAGGTTTGGAGGAGAAAGGGTAACCCTTCTTCTGCCAACAGTTGTCCTCTGAATGCCCGTCTTTTTTGCAATAACTACAGTTTATAGATTTGTTAATTGGTTTAACATTTGCGACGCGATCTATAACCATTGAAACACCCATTTTACTATCCTCCTCCTTGATTTGTTTGTCTATTTTAAGGAGGCAATTTAAAATCTCGTCGAAATTGCTATAATACTCGAATTTCAATGCCGTCTTATAATCCCAAAGCAGGCCCCTAATGAGCGCATCTAATCCCTCTTTTTTGATTGCCAATTCAACCCTGCGTTTAACACGCCCCGAGTTTTTTGTCGTTTCGTCTAGAACCGATTGGGTTAGTTCTTTTACTTGACCAAAATAATCGAGCATATGTTCGCTCGGTCTCATAAACTCCGTAGCAAGCTGTCCCCTATAGTAGTTTGATCCGCGAGAACGCAGAAACGCGTCTTTTAGTCTTTCTATAAGCTGTTCTACTCTACTAATTTTAAGACCCTCGATTACTAGATACGCGTGACCACTAAGTTTGGAAAGGAGAAGCCTAGCGAGAGATGTTTCTGTTTTGGTTAAAAAACCCGCCAGCAAAGATTCAAGTGCGCGTCGACATGCCCTAATAAACTGTGTTACGGAAATATTTTGTCCGTCAAATTTTGGGACATGTTCTATAAGTTCCCGTAACTTTGACGAAGACTGTAAAAAACCGGGAAGAGGAGCAAATGGAGCTATTCTCTTCATTTCTCTAATCTTTTGCCTTAAATCCTCGATTTCCCTTTTTAATTCGCACTCACCTTCGGAAAGAGGTGTTATTGTTCTCCGTCTTGGAGCTGTCGTTGGAGAAATGGGACGCGAAGAACTAGGAGTAAGAGGTAACGGAACAGAGGAGTCCATCGGAGGATCAGACCGTTCAAAACCCTGTAAACCGGACGTATTATCTCCTAAGGATTTTCTAATTTCCTCCTCCTTTAACACGAGTCTCCGTTCCCTATATTCTAGCTCGAGTTTCCGTTTGCTAAGTTCCTCTTGTTTTTTAAGCGTTTCTTCCTGCGTTTTACTAAGTATATCTTGTATGTTCAAAATTTCCTCTATCCTCCTACGCATTACCGAATCTATCTGTGTCTGTTCCACTGTAGCCTCCTCATCGATTGGAGTTTCTGGTCTATATCTTCTTTGCTCTTGCGGCATTTTAAATTTTACAAATTAAAGTTACGGAACAAAAGTAAAAAGGTTCCCGAAACGCAAAGAAAAARGTATTGAAAAGAAGCTAAAAATTAAACTTGACAACGTAACTCTTCCGTTTGGATATCCAACCACTGCCACCAGTTTTTATTATGTGACGTCCCCGCAGCTAAACGAATGAAAGACGAGTGACCCCACGAATATTTGCCCTGTTTTTTGGTCAGTCCGTCAAGACGGTACTCTACCTGGGATCTGAGCTAGAAGAGCCAGCACCTGCAAGGTTAAAGAATGATAAGGTATACTTACCTCTGAAGAAATTGTAACTCGTCTCCTGGAACGAATTGTGTCGAT